TAAGGCGCCACTTTACTTCAGTTTTTAAGTTTTTAGTTTGTTTTAAATAATGGCCCAATCCTTTGTAAAGTTGGCTGACCAAATTATGTTTTGCGGTTAATCAACTAATGGGCTTTGGTTTGGTTTTATTTCAAGTTGTAATAAGGGCCCAATTGGCAACTTAGGCATCAGCCTTTGGGAGACCAAGAGGCGCATAGCTAGTGGCTATTGGGTGACTTTTTGGTTGCCACAATTTCAGTTACAATCAGCCATCAAGTAGTTTCATTTCTTAGCTTAGTGGATCATTATCTAAGTGGAATGTATTTTCCGTTACAGAACCCTTGTAATTCTGATGGTAAAGCTTCTATATAAGCTGAACCATTCTTATCAATAAGACAAGTTAAGTTTGATTCCGAAATATTAGAGTTTATCTCTTTTATCTTAGTGAGAGTGATTCTCCTAAGTTCTTGAGTGATTCAAGAACACCTTGGCTGTATCAAAGGGCTTTCACATCCCTTTGTGTGTTGCCTTCCTTGGAAAGAGTGATTCTTTCCTTCCCCCATTCAATTCTTCACCAAAATTCCAAAAAAACTCAAATCTGCCCAGAATTATCTCGTTATCATAACTCTCGTTCTACTTAGCCAAATTGAGTGATTCTTGAGCCTAAATTGAATTTCAGAACGAGAACTTTCACCTCGTTTTGGAATCACCTCAATTGGAGTTCTATAACTCGAGATACCGTCATTTCTAAAATTCTGTCCAGCCACCACCAAACCAGTGTTTTTGCTTCCTTTTTCACTCATTTTTAACAACATGGACCAACACCTAATTTGCCCAGAAATTCATCACTAAATTTTCAAATTTTTCTACAAGGTTCTAACCCTAAAGATCCTAAGTCAGCCCTTGTGCAAATGGGGTTCATATCACATCTAAATTTGCTTGAGTAATTTCAACTTTGAATAGAAAGAACTTGAATAACATTGTATCAATCTCAGAAGAAAATCCATTAGTCACATTTGCCTATAAAAGTAGGAAGCTGTTTTAAAAATATTATAGATTAAAACAAATATAAAAGATTAAATGAAATCAATATCAACACAATCCACCTCAGTCATCTCTATTTTCAATTGTTTTGCAGACTTTCCAATGGACTGTGATAAGGGGATTTTCAAATATTGTAAAAGAAGTAGATCCAGTAAAATCCATAACATTAACATATAGTTTAAACCTAAAAAACACAATTAGTCATAAGTCCACTGAATATTTTACTAAATTAGTTTAAATTGAATATATAGTTTATAAGTAGTAATATTTATACCTGGGAGTAGGAATGATATATCTTTGACAATTGTCACAAAAAAACTTATGTCCATTTTCTTTCAGATTCTTGAAACACTTGTTACATGAGTCATATTGTTATCTATTCTCATATTCAATTTCAATAACTTTGGCAAGAACAACAAATCCAACATTTTTAAAGCAAAATTTAAATTATGACTTTTATAGATTTTAAAAATAATTATATGCATTTCACTTCAATATTTCAATACAAAACATACATAATTTGTCTCAATTATTTCAAGTATGGTCATGCATTGAGCTTGGAGCAAATCATCTTCCATTAAAACAAAAAAGTACCCAGACATCTGACTTAATACTTAACTTATACTTGCATCATTCATATTCATCTTATACCACAAATTAGATTAGCTTATAAGTTAACAAAAATAGAAAACATCATACAAAACATAATGATGTTTCTATAAATAAAAAATAATTAAAATACTTACTTATTCTTATAATCAATAGTCTCTTTTATATTAGAATTGATATACAATTTTGTTCCATTATAAGCATTTGATATTTCTAAAGTTCCTGAAACAACCATGAAATATAATTTGTTGATAATAATAACTATCACACAACTAAAAAGAGTTCAATATAGATAAGAAATTATACCGACAAATGTTTTCATTTTACATAATTGAATAATCACAATAAGTAAAACATTAGAATTTTGATTCTTTAGAAAATCAACCATTTGATTAGCAAATTCCTCCTATAAAGTGCAAACAATTCTCTAATTCCTATAAAGCATATTCAATATAATATAACTTTAATTAATATAAAGTAATAAAAGAGAAAAAATATTAAACAAATATTTTAGCCATTAAAATATGTTATAAAATAATACTCACTCTAAGTTTTTGATAATTAAATTAATATGTTTGTTTTTCTTTCCATTTTTTTTTCCACGTTTTTGATATTATCTTTCTCAACCATATGACCAATGACATCTAATTTAACATGTATCAAACATTATTTTAAAATCACAAAGTAGCATATATGGATAAATATGAAAGCGATTAAAATTAGAAAAAAAAACTCACCAATTAGATATAATTCATCTAACCCACTTAATTTTTTTGAGAATGGAACAAAATCAAATCAATTAAAAGAGATGTTGTCACATTTGACTAAATAAATTAAATAAGAAAAAAAATTATGCACTTTGACTAAAGGAATATAAAAACTTTACCTTTTCATCGACTAAAATCATGTCCATACTATTGACTTGAGTTTTAGTTTGAAACTCATGAGAACACCACAAATGAATGATTCAAATCATTATCTTCCAATCCACCTTCCCAGGTTGTATTCAGAAAGTATTGAAATAGTAGGCGCCATTTTAAAAGGATTTTAGTTCAAAATATAGACCAAACAATTTCAAACAAACAACATATACTTTCCCTTATATAGACCAAACAATATCTTTCTCACTTTAAGAAAGTTTTTTACTTGTTTTTTGCTATTATTTTTGTAATAAACTTAATTTAAAGTTCAAAGGTTTTTTGTAATTTTATCAGTGATCAATTTTTAATACTAAAATTTAAAATAAACATTAATATTAAGGTTAAATCTGCTGTAAAGAATAGACCTTTTGAATATACAAAAATTGCTAATTATAAATAATGCATTTAAGTGATTTGAATTAAATCATTCAATACGACTTTAAAGGTAAAAGTATATAAAATTTGATAATTAAAAACGAAAATGAATAGATTTAACTAATTTAAATTAAACCGTTTAAGATGATCTTAAATAGTAATTAATTATTAATAATATATAATTAATATAAAAATTATTGTTAAAGAATGAAGGTAAATTCTTCTCTAAAAAGTATTGCAAAGTTCCCTTCAAAACTTATATATTTTTATATATATAAAAAATATATATATTAAATAATAGAATTAATGATTTATTTTAAAAAAATACTAATATCATTTAATTTTTAAGATATTAAAAAATTATATCTATTAAAATAAAAAATAAAAAATATTATCTCAAGAGTGCACTTATTTTATTTTATTGCCATGATATGAAGTTTTAAGAAAAGTGAACAAAGAAAACTGTGGGGCTGGGAAAGGAAAAAGCAACTATTGGATTGGGCTGCATTGTAGAATTGAAGAAACTACGGCGGGCCTATTCATATTCATATTCATATTGACCAAAATGTATGGGGCCGTTCATGTTATTGATATTTGGGTGACACTGCTTTTCTCTACAAGACCATATCGGAGTCATTTTGGTACATTCTCAAATCTCACGTAACCTAATTCCCCAAAAATAAAAAAAAATTTCTGCTTAGAATTTGATCAAAAAGGGATTATTGAAAGAATTTGACCAAAAAGTAAAAAGAAATTATCGGAAGAAAGTGGGTCAATTCAGGATTGGGACACTTAATTTGCCTTCCAAGGTAACTAGCTAAAGGATTGCCGTCTACTCCCTATCAAACCAAAAACCACAAGCCCTTTTAATTTTAGTAACTTTGGCTCTTCCATTGTCTTTTTCCTACATATTTTCTTTTGGTGGATAATATTTTATCTGGTTACGTGTTCACCTATTTTTTCTTAATCTATGAACCAACTATAAGGTTTTTCTATTGCAATGCTACATAATTTGTTTTTCTTCAATAAATTCATTTCCCTACAATCTTATATGATATTTTCTCATGTCTTTCATTTTTTATTAAATTTTTATTGATTTCACTTATACATCACTTGATCTTTTATATTCTAACCTTTTTAACTTATTTTTATAATTAAAAAATATTTAAAAATTTATAAATAAACAAATCAAGTTTATAAAATTACTTTTTAAAATACAAGAACATGGCAACTATAAATTACATAAATATGAATACTTAATTTTTCTAAAATATAACATTTTTAAATTAATAAATTTTGATGTTAATAAAAAATTATTAAAAAAAAGTAACCAAAACTTATTCTCTAAAATTAATGAATATTTATCCTTAAAAAATATATTGTTATATAATGATATGTGTTTTTTTTTATCATTAGGAGTTTATATGCTAAAAAAACTATTAGAAATGAATGTAATATATAAATCTCAATATATATATATATATATAGAAGTAGGATATTTTTACACTCAATCTGGACCTTTCATTTAAATTATATCTAATGACTAATGAAGTAATAAATTATAATCGATTATATTTAAGTTAAATAAAATGTTCAAATTGAGTGTAAGAATTTTTAGACTTACACTAGTGTAAGAAGATTCTTCTATATATATATATTGATCACATCCCAACTATGAGAGGTGCCCATCAATATCATCCTCCCAACCATAAAATGACATATCCTAGTAAGATACTGAGAAGTATGAATGCTTTGTGGAATCATCGAAACTCAAGAAAATGGTAGGAAAATCCAATATTGCGAGACAATATGCCATGAATGCTAATCTTTTAGTCGCAAAAGCAACAAAACAGACTTCAACCAATGCTAATTAAAATAATTCAATTTAACGTTTTTGAAATCAAGTGTACAATTAATAAATAAGGACAACCATACGGGAACGACATGCATCCAAATTTATAATTGCAACTCATCTTTCATTCTCTATATTCATACTCCATCCATTACTATATAAGCCTATCAAAACAATGCACGATTACCAAAATAGAACCATAGCAGCCTTAGCAATTTATAATGGAATTGCCCACTTCCAAGCTTTGGTTCATCATTTTTACTCTTAAATATTTCTTCTTTATCTTTTCATTCCTATCTTCAACCCACGTAGAAGCAACACACTCTGCAGGCTCAAACTTGTTTCGAGAATACATTGGAGCCGAGTTTAACAGCGTCAAATTTTCAGATGTCCCTATTAATCCAAGTGTCCAATTTCACTTCCTTCTCTCATTTGCTATTGACTATGACACATCATCTTCTCCTTCTCCCACCAATGGAAAGTTTAACATCTTTTGGGACACCGACAACCTTAGTCCCACCCAAGTTTCTTCCATCAAGAGTAAGAATTCAAACGTCAAGGTAGCCCTTAGTCTTGGAGGAGATAGTGTTGGAGGTGGTTCTGCTTACTTTGATCCATCTTCAATTGATTCATGGGTTTCCAATGCAGTTTCTTCACTCACAAACATAATCAAAGAGTACAACTTAGATGGAATTGACATTGACTATGAGCATTTCAAGGCTGACCCTAATACCTTTGCTGAGTGTGTAGGGAAGCTAATCCAAACTCTTAAAACCAATGGAGTCATCACTTTTGCTTCTATTGCTCCATTTGATGATGATCAAGTTCAAAGTCACTACTTGGCCTTATGGAAAAGTTATGGGCACCTCATAGATTATGTTAACTTCCAATTTTATGCATATGATAAAGGTACCAGTGTCTCTCAGTTTATTGATTATTTCAACACACAAAGCTCAAATTATAATGGTGGGAAGGTTTTGGTGAGCTTCATTAGTGATGGGAGTGGTGGGTTGGCCCCAGATGATGGATTCTTCACAGCATGCCATATGCTGAAGAGTCAACAAAAACTCCATGGTATCTTTGTGTGGTCTGCTGATGACTCCATGGCAAATAGTTTCCGCTACGAGAAGCAATCACAAGCACTCTTGGCTATCCCTCGTAATTAAACGGGTATACTAAAGAATGTTTTAGTTATGTGTTGGTATATGTTATACACACTTGTGCATTATGTTTTAGCTTAAATTACCCTTTACGGGTAAACTTATGTGGATTTGTTACTCTCTCAATATCTTTTTATCTATCTACTTTTATAAAAGAAAATTTTAGTTTGTTTAAAGTCTAATCAAGTCGATGTTAATTATTATCTTTTTAATTAGTTTTTTTCTATTTTTTAAAACTCATAAACTTAACAAAAACATTTGTTATATTATATAATCTATTTGTTATCCTTCAAAATATAACAAATGTAAAAGTTAACAATTGAGGTTGAAACCATGTGAGAACATGGTCCCTATTATCTCTTACTCTTTTTAATCTGCATCCATATTATCTCTTAAATACGGGTCCCTACGAATCTTTGCTCCAAAAAGATCCAAATTTTTTAAATTTTTGGAAGACCCATTTAAAAAAAAAAAAGAAAACAAAGATTCGACCTTTCCTCAAAGTTGGGCCAAACTTCAGAAAATGATAGAAAACCCAACTTTACTTTCCTAATGAGTAACAACGATTGGATCACAGTGGGTCGTTTCTCAGGGTATTATTTGACGTTTTCCCATCTAACTCACGTTACCATTAAATGTTGACAAAGAAAACAAAACGTTACCATTAAATGTAATCCACTGATGTTATGCAAATATGTATACTTTGTAACAGAAGCAACAATTAACGTCTACATCCTTGAACATAATATAAAGTGGAAAATGAATAATCGGAACAAAGACAATACAATACCATGAACAACTTCCACTTAACAATTGACATCGGGTTGTTATCATTGTTTTCATGTTGGGATTTGAGCGTGTGTACCACTGATAAAATATAAGTATACAACACTCAGAATCAGAAAAGCATTTACATTATGAAGCATCAAAGCTTATTCCTCCTTTAAATGAAGCCAAAATTCCCCTGCCTGCTCAAGGTCAAAGCAAAGTCTGGCCGCCGGTGACTTGCATTGGAAAAGTCAACGAATTATCTTCCAAAGAACACCTCCTATGTGCATCTACATCAAGGGACAAAACCAAAAGATGTGAGGAACCTTGCTTCTTTATAGTATCTAACGATCTTTCATTCTACCGTTGGAACCAAGAAAATAAAACATGGCTAATCGTGCCACCTACAATATGGTTTTTCTAGGCACGTTGTGTTTTACCATAATAGTTTAAACAAATGCTAACCAGCACATTATTTTTGTTAAAAATTATTATTAATGTATTTTTTTCATAACTTTTAAGGCATCTTAACATGATTTTTAATATTTTTATTTGTAATTCTTTAATTACTTTTAGGGAACTGAATAAAAATCCAAGAGTGTATTTTATAAACATTCTTAATAAAAAAAACTTGTTTTAGTTCTTTAAAATACTGATTAACATTATTGTAGTTTTAAACCATAAATTATTGCTAAATTTGGGAGAAATTGAACAGCAAAAACAAAAAAAAAAAGTTGCAGAATTATTTTCTTAGATTGGAATACCGCAAAAGTGCAAAATGATATTTGAAATTAACACGCGTCGAGTATTATAAACTGTAGTTGTAAACCGTGAGACATGAATAGGTAATTGTCACAGTGACAGCACTAATAAAAACGTTGTATGCAGCGATCCGTAGCAGCAGCAATTAGCAAAGGGTGTTTGTAAATGGTGATTTTAGCACTCCGTGTCAGCGAAGGTCCTTTTTGACTCAACATTCCACAACGGTGTCGTATGAGTGGTTAATTAATGCCTAACTGTCTTATTGAGAAGATTGAGTTGACCTCAATTTCAATGCCACAATACACCCCATTCCCAATTTCATTAACCAAAAAGCCTATTTTTTTGGGGAGGTTCAGGTTTGTTTACATGAATGTGCACTTACATATGAAAAGGACGTAATGCTTGTCATTCCGTTCCTATCATAAATACCACTTTGTTCATTGTAATCATTTGTCAACCGTCCACCATCTTATAGAGGATGGGATGTTGCTTCCCACTTGAATGCTTCCAATCCAAAATCACCATTAACATGGCATTATTATGATTATTATTGATTAATGGGTCAAGAGTTGATGCCTTGAATTTCCAATGAGGTCCAATTTGAAGTGACGTATCAACATAGATGTATTTCTGCAACTTGTCACGTATCTTTTTTTACACTGTGCCTTGCCAAATCGTTTATCGACACCCCATAAAGGTTTAGTTTTAAGCTACAATTAATGCTCCCAAGATAACTCATTCAAGCTATGCCAAACCTAAAAGTGATACCTGCAAAGATTACACAGTTTAAATAAATTTGTTTTAAACAGTATTTTATCTATAATTTTTTAAGATGATTTTAATGGCTACCGAGCACTTTATCAACTCACACAAAATTATTTTAGATTAACTTGTGGTATCAAATTTTAATTTTAATTAAATTTTAGAACGTGTATATAAAAATTTATATATAACATATATTAATTAATTCTTAAAAGCATTATATTTTTTATTTTTAATCTTTATAAAAATTATTATTTTAGTCTCTATATTTAATAAAAAAAATCTGATTTTAATTTTGTCAAAAATAAAAACCACCCTTTTTTATTAGAATAAAATGTTGTAACATTTTTTAGAAATTGATTACTTAATTAAAACTATAATTATATATAATATTTATTTTCAGTTGTTGAAATAATAAAATTGAATTATTTATATCCGTTTTCTCTTTTTCTTCAATTCATCACTTTCTATCTCTCTTTTTTCTCGCTCTCTCTCTCTCCTCCTCTTGCTATCATAATAATTGGAATAGACATTGAAGCAAACCTCTTAATAGTGACAAAGGTATCTATCTATCTATCTATGTTACATGATAAGGCATTATCTTCCTACAAGGACTTGACATAGAGCCCTCAGTTTTACATGCGCATCATTCTCTAAAGAATTTGGCGTACTGATGTTACTCTATGATAGGTATCTAATCGATGTTACTGTTTTTCGTTCAATTACAACGTGCTCATGTATACACCTATCTTAAAGTTTCTATCGCTACCTGAAAGATCAAACAATAGGGTTGTTGCTCTTTTTATTTCTCTATAGGGAAATGTTCTTTGAATATCACTATGATAGATACGTTAGGAACTAGGGAACACTGCATGTGATATGGAAAAAAATGAAAAACATATAAATCTATAATATAGGTGTTAAAAAAAGAAGTTCAAATATCAGAATCTTTCCTCTTTATTAGTGTGTGAACTGTGAAATCCAATAGCTAACAGGAAGATAAACAAAAAAAGTACTTCCTCTGTACTGGCCGGGCAACAGAGTTGAGATCCATAGCTAACCTTGCTTATTTCTCACTTTATTCTTCTAAGATTTTTATTATTATTATTTTTTTTTCACATATACGTGTATCTTAAAAATACACCTCTAAAACAAAAAGTGACACCTAAAGAGCTTCCTTTTAGTGGTACACTAAACATTTTTCACTCTTCAAATTTTTTTTTATTTTTTTTTGGGTACAACTATAAGACATGTTCAAAACTTTTTTAAAAAATGAGAAATTATCTTAGATCTTCTTAATTTTTTTGTGTTTTTAAATTATCTTAATTATTAAATGAAAAATATCAAATTATTTTTGTATTTTAAAATAATAAATAAGTGAACATTTACTTACTCCAAAGTTTATAGTACACTAACTTCATTTAATAACGTATTATGGACATTATATTTTAATAATCCAATCATTAAATTAATATTATTGAATAAATTAAGATTGTAAAATTTTATATAATTTGAAAAACAGTTAAAATTTCGTCAATAAATTTGTTTTATTGAATACTATATTATTTTAAAAATACTAATTATAAAATAAAATATCTATTGTTATTGAAGTTATCTAAACTTTTATTACAATAATGATAATTAAGATAATATTACATATGTTGTACTCACATTTTATTATAAGTTATTAAATAGAGTAAGTTAACCAAACTTATTCTTAAAATAAGTGAACTTTTTTTAATACTAAATGTACATATTTTTTATTCGATACATATTTTATAAAATTATAAAAATTTATAAGAAAAATTGTAAGACTGCATCAAAACTCAAAACCAAGAAAATGAGAATAGTGAACAAATTTATTAATAATGATGCACCATGCATGCGGCATAGTTAGTGCCATTATACAAATAGGACGAATTCAGTGATAATTCAAGAAAAAGGTGGAAAATAAAACTCCAAAAGATACATTTAAAAATATAATGTAATAATAAAAATAGGCTTTGCATTTACTTTTATTTACATAATTTATATTCAGTAGAAGTTAAATTATTAATACAAATATTACATATATATACAAAAATATAATACACCAGTCAAACTAATGTTTTAAATTAATAAATTATGTATTTTTCATATAAAAAGATTTGTTTCAAATTTTTTTGGGCGGTGGGTGGGCCACACTTGCCCCCCAAATCCACCTGATAATATAATGTTAATCTTGCCATTTGATAGCACTTTTTGAGGTTATTTTATTTCTTGCAAGTTTATGATATGATTAAGTAGTGGTATTTCTGTTAAACAATATTTATTATATATTAAAGTGCCAAATATTTGTCCATCAAAAAGAGTATAACTAATGACAGTTCCATCGGAATCTCGATATCTTCATGATTAGAAAATCATAACAACGTAGCCCACCCGCACATCCTTCGCTCTCTCTCTCTCTCTCTCAAAAAGTGATCATGCTTTTCCCTCTCAATTTTGTTTCTGGGAAAAGGATTGGGCTTGAATTCAAGTTATCAGCGAGGCAGAGAAGAGGCATGTGAGTTTTTTGCTTCGTGCCTCTTAAAAAATGAAAGCAACGTTTTGCTTCTTTTCTATATACCATTCTTGTCATCTAATCGCACCTGATCTCATATTAATCCTCTGAGTCATGCACAATATTACGTTAATGACTACTTAATTATAATATGAATCTTGATATAAAAAAA